AAAGCACACCTTCAGAGCAGTTTGTTTCCGGAGAATGTCATCAGACTTGTACAAGACTATAGTAGAGAAAATGGTAATGACAAATCCTGAAAACCATAAAAGAATATAAGGCATTTAATTTCATAGTACATGGTCTCGTTTGTTGTATCTTCTAACAGTAGCAACACAGAGATTAATATTTCAGCAAAATAGTCAAGTAGTAAACTAGTAGTGGTACTCATCTGCAGGTAGATGGAAGTGTTATATCCAAAGAAAGGGAAATCGTACTAGAAACTCTTATCCGCATAATAAGTGAAGCTACACCAGCCTCAAGATATATCTCAATCTACCAAGTTAACAGAGAGACAAGTGAAGTAGCAAAAGAATGTCTCGTATCAGCAAGAGGACGTGAGCTCTTCAGGATCTTAATGGGAAGAGTACATGTGAAAGACAAACTATTTTCAACTATTTAAAGATCTTAATAGATATACAGTAGCAGTGTTTTTAGCATAACTCTATAACTATCCATTTCCCCTTTACTTCAAATTATTTTTAGTTAGCCCTTTCCTTTCGTTTCCATAAAAGAACAACCATTTATACCAACACATGATTTGTGGATAGATAGTTGATTTGGTGTTCATGATTGTCAAGTGTGCAACAAATTTCTAGTCGAGATTGTCAATTCTCACAAGTAACAAGTAATGGTGATGATTTTACCAACGCAAACTCAATCGTCATCTGAAATAACATATTCCTGGGCAAATACTCCTCACATTTATCAGGATAATAACACAAACTCAAACACAAACAACCTATCATCGTCAACATAAAGCCACTAAAAAGTGGGGAAGACCAGAAGATAGAGAAGCTATGATTAAAAACTTCCTCACTGAACAAACAAAAACTGTACCTCGCAAGTGTTGCCTGATAAAAACAATCAGCAACAGCAGTGAAAACGGAAGAATCTGCTCGAGCCACCTCGCCGCCTGCTGAATATCATACCTCTGGTGCGAAGACCCTTCCCTGTTACCGCCACCATCAGCACCTCCCCCATCCCCGTTCACATCGCCGGCCCCAACCGTGGACCCGGCCGCACCCAATCCGACCCTCTCCGCGCCGCCATCTCCACCCTCACCTCCATCCTCCTCCCCCATTATCCGAATCGAAACCTCTCCGCCGTTGCCGGAATCGCCATTTCCACTCCCAGGGTTTAGAACATCCGCACCGGAGCTGGTGCTCTCGGGCACGAGAGGGGTAGCCTCGGAGTAAGAGTACTCCGGCCGGAGCAACCGGATGACGCCGGAATATTCGATTAGGGACGCAACGGGAGACTCTAGGAACCGCATGGCGCGAGACCGGAGAAGTCCTCCGGTGCCCCCTCCGCCGCCCGGTGACGGGAAATCCAAACTCGCAACATCGGAACTCGGAACGTCCATGTGAAAAAGCTCGAAACTTTTCAATAATTAATGAATAAAATGGATAAGGGTCTCGATTTCTTGGCCAAGAGATTATCTATGTAAAGAGATATTCAGCTGCATACAAGTTTTCAGAGAGAGAGAAAGTCAGAAGAGTGAGAAATGTTGAGTCGCATAAACAATATCATCATATATATGTCTCTCTGTGAGTGGATTTATCTGTATAAAGAGTTTAAAATTTCAGATAAAATGGGAAGATTTTGCAGAGAGAAAAAAAATGATGGGAAGAAGAAGGTGTTCATAATTTTATTTTAGTGGTAAAGTAGTGAACAAATCGAATATGTTTCTACAATGGGCTTTAGTTTTCGTCAAACAAGGAGCAAACGTGTAACGTTGGAAATCCAAAATACGGATAGGAAAAAAGATTATTTTTTTTTTTAAAAAAAAAAAGACAGATAGGGTTAATATGGTAAACTACCAATGGCCTGTTGGTACTTGGTACTCGAGCTTGTACGCTAGACCTTATTAAGCCGAACGCTTAATTAATGAGTCGATAAATATGTTCAAACTTGGACTCTAGACTTTGCTGAGCTGAAGTTTTAATTTAACAAACCTATAATGAAATTTGAGCTCAATTTGTTAATATAGCCTTACCAAGCCAAATTATGTTGAAATCTTAGAAAATTATATTATTAAAATTTTTTATTTTCAAGCATAACATGAACAAGTTTTTATCGAGGTCGAGTTAAACTCTTTTATTAAATAGAGTTTAGCTCGATCTCGGTTAAATGAATCGAGTTTATCAATGGTGTGTTTGGTTCAACAGTTGTAATTACTTAAAAGAAAACAAATTAAATTAAAAAAAAAAAGGGTTTAACAAGTGGATTGAAGTGTAGTTTTGGAAGCTACTCTCGTTTTTCTTTTACAATTTCCTATACTTGAAGTTTTGTTCATGTAAATTGTCTTTTGGAGGTAGAAAGAAAAGCGTGTAAGTAACTAAAGATGTTCATGCCTTCTTTTTATTTTATTATATTAAAATATAGAAAAGGTAAATTTTTTCAAATAAAAAAAAACTTTTCAAAAAGAAGAAAAATATCGTTGAAGAATTAATGCTTGTAAATAATAATAATCATAATTAATTAATTATAATTGTTACTTTTTAGACAAATAGAGCGAAAAAAAAGGCGGAGTCATTGTATTTGTGTGGGATTAATTACAAGTTGCTGTTATGATATAAATCCCACTCTTATGGACTAAAAGCGTACACGCAGGTTTTGACTTTACACTGCAGATTGGGTCAAGAAAACCGTGTTTTACGATCTTAAATTCTTAATTAATCTTGATATTCGTATTAAATATATTTTATTTAAAAAGATTCCTTTTTCTGAAAAAAAAAAACTTTTATTATAATGGTAGCGATAAATAATATGGGAAAAGCGAATGTGACATAATTGTTTGTTAATAAAAGATGATGTGCTATTTTGATGATTGTTAATTTGAAAGATAATGCAATGCGATGTGTCTGTTATGAGAAGTTCAATATCATAATTTATGTTAGTAATAATGTTGTTAGATAGAACTACGGGTGGATAGCCATATAAATAATATCGACTATAAAAATACACAAATTCTTGCACAATGCAGCTTAATTATTAGGTGTGTCTCGATCCTTCATACACATTGAACAAATATATACTCACAATATCATACTTCTATATATACTGGTTTTAAAGTATGGTATTTTGTAATTAAAGTATGAATATTTATTAAACGAGTATGTTGGTCTAATAGTTAGGTTAATCTAACACAAACCCACCGATAAAAATAATATGAATTGAATGTCATATATGCATCGATGATATTGTTATCTACTTATAATTTTAATATTATATATATATATATAATAACTTGTAATACTTTAAATTTATATTAGTGCATGTGCACATGGTCGAGTACTAGTATATATAATTACTGACTTCTCAATTAATATTATTTCACATACCTTTTCGCTCATTTTATTTTCATCTAATTATGGAAACTAATTGTTACATTTGCATTAACTAATGGTAACAATATTTTTTATAACTATTTTATCGTAAAACAAATACTACTAATATTAAATAACTATAAAGTCGCATTAAAAGGTTTTATGAAAGATAAAATAAATTATATCCAAACTTTTTCTTCAAGCTATTCATTTTAAAATTAATATTATACTTTTATTTAGATGATTTTTTTCAAGTAACTAATAGATTTTAACGGCATAACTAGTCCCTTCCAATTAAGCAAATTATTGGTATAAAAATAATAATTTTAATATTTTTCAACTAATTTATGGTCATAATCCATTAAATTTGTAAAATTTATATTATCCACTACATTTTGTGCAATTTTTTAAGTGCCTTTTATAAGTACTAATTTATAATTATAATTTTTTTTTTTTTATAAAGTATGATATGATTATTATCTAAATTATTCTTAAATATAATTTATATACATATAACTTATAATATTTTATTTGTATGTGTATATATGCACATGATCGAATATTAATGTGACAGTCCAATTATCTTTTGGCAAATGAGTTGTGCTTTCTGGTTGACAGTTGACTAAACGACTATTAATTAGAACGCAAGTGGTACTTTTAAAATTACAAAACTCTTGTTAAGATTAATTTTTACACAAAATACACCTTTGAGACCTAAACATGTGTTCAATTTCAAGTTTTTTTTGGTCAAACGATAAAGTAGAAATTCATTGAATTCAAAATAAAGTACAATATCCATAATCAAGTGCTTGTTTGGGAGCACTTCTGAAAAAGTCCATTTAAGATATGGACTTATCCAAAATGGACTTCTCCAAAAGTCTCAATTATTTACTTATACAAAATGGACTTTTTGGAGAAACAACTTATCCATAAGTCCATTCATTATTTAACACCAAACATAAATATTTATTCAAATGGACGTTTGGATCCAAAAGTCCATTTGAAAAGTGTTTCCAAACAAGGCCCAAGTGATTACAAAAGCACTCTCCTAGGCTAAGACTATGTTTGATTCAACCGAATGGAGGTGAACCGTAAATTGATAGATCAAAAAATGTATATATTTTATATGTTTACTATTGTATTTTTATAAATTTAATTTATTCGCACGTTTATAATTTTCACCTTATATATTATTTGAATAATTTATTTGATATAATACTTTTTGGTATTATTTCCAATATTTTGGAGTATTTTGTCGACATGAAACATTAGACATAATTTCACACGATCAGTTATCGGGGGTCCAATATAATACTAGTCGAAGTCCAAATGCATAGAATTAATGTGGACCGGATGAGAATAAAGCCCAACTTTGATTCACGAATGAATGTTGAAGTTGGAACACGTGAATGAAATGAGGAATTTGGGCAATTAATTTGGATTGATACTTTTTGGCGGGCCCCACGATTGAGTAGAATTTGGGAAAAGTGATTATTGGGAGAATTGTAGAAATTTTTAGATTTTGTTTGGAATTTTTTGGTTTAGTTTGGTTAGTTTTAAAAAAAATGGTATGATTAGTTGTTAGTAGGTATATTAAAATAATATTTAAAATAAAATAATTAAAATTGATTTGATGTAAAAGTAGGAGAGAGATGATTTGAAGTGATTGTTAGTTAAAATTATGTTAGTGGATGAAGTGAATTAAAGTTGATGTGCTGTGTAAGAATGATTGGTTGAGAGACTACATGCGGAGGGAAGCCGTACTCGCATACGATAGGATAATTCTATTCTTTCTTATTTATTTGTATTAATATTTAGGCTAGTTTTGTATCTAGTTTGAGGGAAAGTTTGATCACTAACTTTAATTTGTCTATGAATTGAGTGATCATGTTTGAACCCTGACTTTGATTTGTCTATGAATTGAATGATTATTATTTATTGTTAATTATTTGAGACGCCGTAATTATTTTTATTGATGAATTGATTCATGTTACCTGTGTATGGTTTTTGATTTAGTTCAGTCAGCTACGTTAAATATTCATAGTTTAATTGTTATATTCGAAACTTAAATCCATAATTGTTATTGTTCTCTTTTTGTTTGTAGTAAACTATGGGTCGTGCATCTTTAAGGTAGTATGAACATAAGTTAAATGGTCCGACCTTTCGCGTTGCTTAGATTAATCTATTTTCTTAGGAATTAATTTGCTAGTGTATTATATAGAGAGAGTTTATTTTAGGTTGTCCACTAGTTAGGTTTAGACTTTAGTCTAAGAACTTATTTCCTTTAAATATTCGGTAAAGGCAAAATCGGTTGACAGAGCTTGTTGTTAACTAGGGTTGGTAATTCATTAACAATTTAAATAAGACAACTAAATTAATTACCGGTAGATTTAGATTGGGTGGTAACTAAACCGAAAACTGGACTTCTCTCATTTTATTTAATTTTTATTTCTTTTGTTATATTTATTTTTATTTTTTTAAAGGAACAATCCCCACGTTTTCTTATTGCTTTCTTAGTTTTAATTCATTTAATACATGAATAATCACAATTCAACTCCTACTCCTTGTGGGATCGACCATTACATGCCGCTGCTACTAGTTAGTAGATGTTAGTTGAGGGCAATTTTATAATTTAAATTGCCGCTTCGCGACGCGCGATCATGAGTGAAGCAGTTTTAATGGAGGGGAAGAGAGGGAAGTGAATGGGATGTAAAATAGTGTTATCTTGTTTGGAAGGATTTTTTAAAGAGAGAGGTGAAGAAAATGGTAAACTTCGTTTAGTTAAATAATGAAAGGGGAAAAATAATATAAGATTGACTATTATGCCATTAATAGTATAAAAGATAACATTTAAATAACAAAAGTAATAAGAGTATAATAATAATTAGGTATTAATCAAAATTTTCTCCCCTCCAGAGAAACCTTTTAATTTTTATTTTTGATAGGTAGGTTTCAAGTAGTCTTCTACATCCTTCTCTACAATTTATGTCATTGCTACTACTAGTAGTATGACTTGACTTTTTTTTTTTACCAGACATAACTGTAATATAAGTTGCTTTGAAATGCCTTTCATATGAGATTGCCATATAAGTTTATCACTTAAGCCACAATACTAATGGGGATTTTAAGAATAGATTCAGCTTCAAAGGGCTAAAAGTTTGAAGAACTAACTCCCTATCCCAATTTCTCATACCCTTATCAAACAACTCCTATATCCATTTTAATCTATAACAATCGATCAAAAAATGGTAGGTTGGTTTTAAAGAAGGGCTGACACGTGAGAAATCTTGTATTATTTTGGGGTTTAATTTATATATTGGAGTATTTGATTTTAGTGTATTATACAAGTTTTCTCACGTATTTTATTTTGTGAA